GTCAGGAGTTTGGAAGTATTATAAAATTGAAAGCGAAGGCAGTGTAACAGCCAGATGCAATGTTTGCAAGGCGGAGGTTCCGCGTGGTGGAAAGAACAGAGCTACGTTCAACATGACCAATCTAATACAAACACCACTAACAACAACACGACGAGTACACAGCGGCCACTCAGGTAACGGCACTGAAACAACCAACACTTTCAGAGACTTTTAAAAGGAAAGAGAAACTGCCCCAGAACAGTGAAAAGGCCAACAAAATAACAGCCAAGATAGCTGAATTCATCGCGTTGGATGACCAGCCGTTATCTGTTACCTTTTTTTTCCTCTTAATGCATTGCATAAAGATCGGATCGGGAAAAATCGGTATCGGCAGATTGTCAAAATCAAATGATCGGAATCGGATCGGGAGCAAAAAAAGGTGATCGGGACATCCCTAGACACAATAACAATGAAAACTGCTGCATACAGATTATTTTTGTTTTTGCAACCTCGTGTTAAGAATCTTGTTGCAATTGTTTAAAAGTTTGAATGACCGTACTAAACGGACCTTTGTCTTATTGAAAAATGTCTTTGGACCTTTAAGATTTGTATTTGAGTACCCCTGGGTTAGGCCATGCCAGACATTATTTATTGCATTGCTGGCTCTAAACAGCTACAGATAGACACGGCAGTCATGGTGGTTGTTAATACATCGGACAGTGATGTCAGTGCCATTATTCTTTAAAATACAGACAAAAGGCTCAATTGATAGTTCCTGAAGAGAGGCAGGGCTCTAACACACAAACACTTATAACCCAAATGGTTTTCGTTTGCTTTTGCTCAAAGCACCATTCTGGCTTATTTTGATAGCTGCCTGTTAAAAGACCCTGGTGGGAATCCAGAGATGCAGGATATCATTTTACAAATGGCCTGTGATTTGTAAGTGTTTTCCTTGTGGCACATTAGTTGCAGATGCTGTAAGCATTTTGAGAGTGAAGTAGGGCTACTCAATTAATCGTATTTTAATCGCAATTACGATTTTGGCTTGCAACGATTGTGAAAACAACATCATCGAAATAAAACGATTATTCTTTTTCTTTTCTTTTTTATTAAAAAAAATATTTTTTATTGGTTTTTCAGTTGAAATATACTTAAAGTTCAGGGTAATCAACTGTTGAAAACATACTGTTCAAATTTTATTTTTCAACAAATGGATGTTTTCAAAGTAAATGGATAATCGTTTTTAATAATCGTGATATCAATTATTGACCCAAATAATCGAGATTATGATTTTTGCCATAATCGAGCAGCCCTAGAGTGAAGTGATTATGTATGATATTCATGAACATCCGATTTGACAACTGAACTCAAAAGAAACTGAGTCAAAACAGAGTGCTCTTACACATCCAAAGTTGACCCGACAGCTTGGACATGAAGGGAGATGAGATGGTTAAGGCCCCTCAATAATTGATTTCCATCAGCCGATATAAAAGTATTCCACTAGAAATATACAGTATGAATTGTCAGACACCTGTGTCCATTTTTAGAGTTTCCCTCTCTCCCCACCGTTACTCTAGTACAATTATTTGCCCCAAAGTTGTTGCAGTCCTGTAGTTCATCGAATACAAATTATTCACATATTCTAAGAATGGATGGGTTATCTTTACTCGTTTTTCATGCGGGCAATCCGGGACAAATGACTCACATTGGCATGGAGTTGCTAGCAAAGAAGCTGACATTCTTTCTCCGTTTTTTTCCTCTTATTCTTACTGATGAAATATACATTGTGTTGCCAGAGATCCCTGAGTGCCTTTTCCTGTCTAGGACTTGAATGCCCTTTTTTTTGTTGTGGGCCAGATTTGATTCTCTTTCCTCTCCAGCAGCTTATTAATACATGCATGTAAGCGACACTCAACTGGCCACACAATATTGTTTTTAGACTGAGGTCTGTCTGTGTGAGTGTGAAGAGTTATTTAAGTTGTGTGTATTGCATATTTTATTAATGTTTTTTTAGTTTTTTATCTTTGACTGCTTATGTCATCAGCTTGGATAATTATAGTTGCCATAGTGTCTATCACTTTATGTTTTGGATTTGCCCAGCAGTTTCAGTACCTTGCATATTGCAGTTGGCCATCTTACACCAGCCCTGACAGGTGTTGTCTGAGTTTCCTCACCTCTCTGTCCAGACGAACACACAAAGCATGCACCGAAATCACATGCCCAGCCTGTGCACACTTGAGTACAAAGGCAGAATTGTTTGTTTTCCTGGTATAATATGATTTCACTGCCAAGCTAAGGTACTGCTATAGATTAAACATGGCATGGTGGGCAACCATTTATTTTTTCATACTCAAAATGAGGAAAAAAACATGTTAAAATACATTATGCTGAATCGTAATGGCCTCTTCCTTATCGGCTGAGATGTATGTGTAATTGGTTCATGATAGCAGCCTCTTTGCCAGGCAAGGCAGCCTTCTGTCATCTCTCAACACAATTTACTACAACACAGAAATGCATTTTAATCCCAGATACATCTCTTGTGCTTTATGGTCGTACTAAAAATCTATAGAGTATATATATACAAGATCCCATCGTCATGTTTTCAGATAATGGGAAATAGATATATCTGACAATGTCGACTTTTCATTCTAGGGCGTCTATGTGAGTACAAAGCCAGTGAAGTATAAGGAACAGTTTAGTGTTCTGTCATTTCTGTCTCAGCATGGTTTATGGCTAGTTTCCCTTCCCATCACTGTGGCCCTTATTTCTATAACCCTATCTGCTCTGCTGCTCAAATGAGAACATGGAAAAGTGGGAATTCACTTTTACAGAACACTGCAATAATTAAAACAGAAGTTCCTTTGGGTTTCACATAGAAGATACTTTGTAACAGCATATGGGTGTCAGTTTCAGGAAAGGAGTGTTGAGGGCGACCGACTGTGAGCAAAGTCCTTGTCTTACAAGTTTCAGGGCCTTCAGCTGCTAATACTTAAGCCTTCACACCTCAGGCCAACCTGATTATACCACCTCTGCCTTGTTTTCATCCACTTCCTTTTTATTAGCTAATTGGCTTAGCTCTCTCAGTGGTCCACAGACACATTGGATCAGCACACCAACCTGTGCTCTGTATATCTCTGCCTCATTTTCAACCTCCAGTCTCTTCTCTCTTTCTTTCTCTGCCTCATTTACTGTCTTAAAATATTTGCTTTACTTACTGCAAATAGCAGAGATTCATGAAGGAATCCAAAAGGATGACATTTTTTAGATGCTTCCATCTATTAACACACATGCAGGCACGCAATGCACACATGCACATTGGATTCACTGAACCTAAAGTGAATTAATTATTCATGTTGTTTCTTTTCTGCGTTTAGGGACCCTTCCTCTTCTGTCTCTGTTCATTTCCCCTTGGAGCAGAACCATACACATGCACACTCAGAACAAAGGGCAAGTTTTACTACAGCTTTTCTGGGTGTGGAGTAGGGCTGTGCAATTAATCGTATTTTAATCGCGATTACGATTATGGCTTGCGACGATTATGAAAACAGCATAATTGACAAAATACGATTATTTTGCTGGGTGCGCTTTCGCCCCTCCCTAAAAGCCCACTCGGCCACGTGGGAGTGACATGTGTGAGTGTTCAGCGCGAGCGAAGATGTCAGAACAAGAGCAGCAACTCGTTAAAAAGAAGGGTAAAACTATTTCCACTATTTGGAAGTACTTTGGCTTTCAGGAGTCCGACGTGGAGCAAAACAAAGTACAGTGCAGGATTTGTTACCAGGTTGTGTTGGCACCACACGCTAACACAACCAATCTCTTTAATCATCTGAAATACAACCACAAAGTGCAATACGACGGGGCAATAATACAACAAAAAGCAGACCAAAAAGATGCCCGCTCGACTTCATCCACAACATCATCACAGTCATCGATTCAGGACGCATTGCACAGAGCAACGGCCTACGCGACGAGCTCGCAGAGACACAGAGATATTACAGGTGCCATTACATTTCACATCGCTAAAGATATGTGCCCAGTTAGCACTGTTAGCAACCAGGGCTTTAAGCAACTTGTCAACACGTTGGACAAGCGTTACGCGATGCCGTCTCGGTATTATTTCAGCAGGTCTGCGCTGCCTGCGCTATATGACAAATGCCGTGGGGAAGTTGAGAGAGATGTGGCTTCAGCTGACTACTTTGCCACCACAACGGACCTATGGTCTAGCCGCACCATGGAGCCATACATGAGCCTCACAGTTCATTATATCGATGCCGATTTCAATTTGAAGACAAAGTGTCTCCAAACCGCATTTTTCCCTGAAGACCACACGGGGCAAAACATCGCCCATGGACTGAGGGAAGCGATGGCTGCTTGGGGGTTAAAAGAGGATAAACTCGTCTGTATGACTACGGACAATGCCGCAAATATAAAGCTGGCGGCTGAGGTCAATGGATGGATGAGGCTCCAGTGTTTCGGGCATAGACTCCACTTGGCCATAGGTGAGCAGGATTCCTTCCTCCTGTTGTATGTAATATGTCATTTTAACAACAGCAACAACAATAATAGCAATAGTAAGTCATTAACATTGATGATCTCTCTCTTAATATGAATAATATTAATTACATATTAGATGATGAGTAGGAGATGAGGGAGGTGGGAGAAGAGGGAAGAGAGGAGTGTGGGGGGGAGAGAAAGAGGGAGACACAGAGAGAGAGAGAGGGGGGGAAAGGGAGAGAGAGAGAAGATGAGCAGCGAGAGAGAGACGAGCGAGAGAGAAAGAGAGAGAGCGAGCAGGATGAGAAGGAGATAGATAGATAGATAGAGCTCAGCGAGCTCTCTCGTCTCTCTATCTCTCTCTCGCTCTCTCTCTCTCCTCTCTCTCTCTCTCTCTCTCTCTCTCTCCTCTCTCTCCACACACACACACACACACAACCAACAAATTATGCTTTGATGAAGATCATGATTATCATCATGATACTAAATAATATTGTATTTGTTGTAATCTTAGACGAATGCAATGAAGGATCCCAGGATCGGCCGTGCAATGGGGCTTTGCAAGAAGCTGGTCAGCAGCTTCTCCTACAGTTGGAAAAAGAAGAGGGAACTTGCAGTGGCACAGCAGCAGCTGAATCTGCCTGAACACTCCCTAAAGACAGAATGTCCAACCAGATGGGGATCTAGGCAGGCCATGATCGACAGGGTCCTCGAGCAGCAGAAGGCCATTGCCCAGGTCCTTTCCAGCGACCGAAAAACCAGACATCTCTCCCTCACGTGGCAGGACGTTGATGTACTGGAGGCAATCAATAAGTCGCTTAGCCCTCTGGTGGAATTCACAGACGCACTTTCTGGAGAGAAGTATGTAAGTGTGTCTTTTTTTAAACCAACCCTGCACCTCTTCAACAACTCATTGCTGGCAGTGCAGGAGGATGACACAGACCTCACAAAAAGCATAAAAAAGAAGATACTAGACTATCTCAATGATAAATATGATGACGCAGCGACACAAGAGCTGCTTGACATGGCCTCTGCCCTGGACCCGAGATTCAAGCTCAAATATGTCAGTGAGGACAATCGAGGATCCATTGAAGCCAGCCTGACAACTGAGATGAGGAGGGTGATGACACTCATGGTAATAATAATAATAAAAAATAAAAATGTCAGATTTGACAGTAAATACAATTAAGTGAATGAATGTGTTGTCAAAGTGTTATAATGTAATTCTAGGTATAAATGTTAATACCCATAACCATTTAGTCTGATTAAACATGTCATTCTTATTTTCTTTATAATACTCCAAGGAGAACGCCCCTCTTGAGACGGCAGCGGTGCCTGCAGATGACACGGAGGATGCTGCTGCAGCTGCACCAAAGAAGAAAAAGAAGGGACTGGGGAGCTTCTTCAAGGCCACCGTAGACCAAGCTGCAGAACCTCAACCTGCTCTGGAAAAGGACAAGGCCATAGCTCTTGAGCTACAGTCCTACCTCCAGGCAGTGCCACTGGATGCTGAGGAGGACCCACTAAAGTGGTGGAGGGAATCCCGGAAGTTCTACCCACGGCTCTCCATCCTGGCAAGGAAGTATCTGTGCATCCCAGCCACAAGTTCCTCTTCAGAGAGGGTCTTCAGTACAGGTGGCAATATTGTCACCTGCCTGCGCTCGTCTCTGAAACCAGACCATGTAAACAGGCTGGTTTTTCTTGCAAAAAATCTTTAAGAGATGACATGAGCAGCCCTACCAGCATTTGCCATGGTGGCCATGTTGGCTATATGTTAAGGAGTTGTCAGTAGGTTGTGACAGTGCACTGCAACATATTTGATTTAATTTATTTTGGTCTAATTTATTTTTATTTATCATATTAATATATGTTTAGTATGGTTTTGGAAGTGCGCTCCATTATGTGTTGACCTTGTTTATTGGTAAAATATTATTTCTTTTAAAGTTTAATAAATGGTCAATGAATAATCGTCAAAATAATCGTGATATCAATTATTGACCCAAATAATCGTGATTATGATTTTTGCCATAATCGCACAGCCCTAGTGTGGAGTCATAAAAACAGACAACATCATCCCTGACTTATCACTGGCAATATACACATAATAACTCCACTGGGATGCTGCATTACACTGTAATTGACCCTTCCTCATCTGCAAATTGAGCCCATCATTTCCCGCTTATGTGTGGCAAGTCTTTAGTCTGAATGGCAAATGAACATATGAGGACTAGCTTGATGCTATCAGTGCATCCACCATTTAGGTTAATTGTATAACTAAAAATGTTTTTCCTTTGTGATTTATTTTTTATTTTGTTCTCTTCGTATGTCATAACTTATTATTTATACATGACATGTTATCTTGATCCTGATATATCATTTGACTTGTGTATTTCTGGAGTTGTAATGAAAGCATTCCTCATGTCATCACTATTTGGATGGATGACGCTCTAAGATGTTGTTGGCTTTAAAAACAATTGATGTGCTATAGATCTGGGATTGCATTGTTGAAGTGACAAAGAGCATGTGTTGTGCATATACAACATTCAGTCAAATACAGCAGAGGGGTTTGAGGAAGGAATATGCATTTAGTGTAACGTGTGCTTTAGTGTACATATGTGTTTGTGAGCACCCATCTTTGTGTCCTTGTGTTTTGGCATGGCTTACATTTCAGCAGCTTAATCAGAGCCCCAAGCCGTTTCGTGTTGGCTGCTATTGGACCATGCAGCTGGGGCTAGGGGTTGTGACAGAGCCCCCCTCAGCTATTAGAGCAAAGACGGAAGTGAGGAGAAAAAGAAACCAAGGGTTGTGAGCTTATAGTAGGATATTGTTACCCAGATACTATCAGGGAGAAATGTGAACGTTTTACAAATTAGGTTCATACCCCCATCCTCAGTGCAACATTTAAACTCTTATTACCCAAGGAGTTGTCTACTGTTTTCTCCACATACTCACACCTACATGTGGGCCAACCTCTGTATTAAGAGGGTATTATATGTGAATATGTGAGGTATATATCTAATTGCAAAAGGTCTGTTTCATTAACGCACAATCTAATACTAGTTATTATGAGGTGGGGGACAGAAAACAGGAGGAAACACAGATGGATGGAGTTCGGAGTTCAGACAAAGAGTGAGAGATTGACGCACAGAAAGAGACAGAGTGTGCAAGAGAGCTCACTGGGAGCAAGTGTCAAGAGAGCTCTGGTCTTCCCTCCCTCAGAGAGACGCTGATCATAGACTGCGTGGCTGTTGTGGGATCAAAGGCTTTGTCAGTCAAAGCCCCTTGACTCTGTCTCCACAGAGCCAACTACAGGTACTCAGAGAGGCATGGACGTGGAATAATTCATGACCAGGCAAACCCTCAAATGCTCTCTCTGCCCAGAATAAGACCTCACATCTGGGGTCTCAGACTCCCCTTATCAGACCCCAGGCATAGCGTTGTGAACATCTGCTCGATTTGGCTTGTGTTCCTTTACTGTATTGTTTTCTTTCCAACACACATAAAGCATAGTAGTGTGTTTGGCACAAACAGTCATACTGTGAAGTGTTAGTGTGTGGCGAAAATGGCATGTTTTGCTTCCATATGGTTAGGCAGGTGGGTGGATGCTTGGCATGCAATGTGTTGTTTTCTATGTGTGTACGTGTGTGTGATATTTTTAGCTGTTCTTCTAATGATTTAGTGAACCACTTGAATCACATTCCACTCACAGATCCCAATTTTAAACAACATATGGTTTTATCTTGCTAGAAGCGAATATGAATACTATTAAGTCATCTTCCGGCAATTGTGTTACACAAGGCTGATTAGAAACACTCATGCAATCAGCCAGGATTTACGTGAACTGAATAGACATTTATTGGCATCAGAAGTGGATTTGATGTATGTTATCATACTTAGTTTCTTACTATTGTGGTGAATACAAATAAAAACGTCTTCATTTAAGGAAAACCTCAACAGCTTCAACAGTATCTAAACTATGATTAAATCAATAATAATCGTTGAATCAAAGAGCAACTTTTTCCTAATATAGAGACCCCTTTTTTTGCTTTTAAGTTTAGCATAAACATTGTATTTTGATAAACAAAATATTTGACAGGCTGTCAACAACCCAGCATCTGGATAAAGCAATTGTTTAAAAGCTACATTTCCAGGTGTATGTCTTTTAAATGTTATGTACATTTGTACCAGCCAGGTAATGTGTTCACTACTATTAGGTGTGCCCTTTTAAAGGTTTTAGCAAAAGTGACTTGACAAATGCTAGGTAACTTCAAAATACCTGCAATAACTGCACCAGTATGTAGGGCTGCTCAATTATGGCAAAAATCATAATCTCGATTATTTGGGTCAATAATTGATATCACGATTATTAAAAACGATTATCCATTTACTTTGAAAACATCCATTTATTGAAAAAAAAATGTTGAACAGTATGTTTTTAACAGTTGATTACCCTGAACTTTAAGTATAATTCAACTGAAAAACCAAAAAAAAAAAAAATAATAATAATAATCGTTTTATTTCGATGATGTTGTTTTCATAATCGTTGCAAGCCAAAATCGTAATTGCGATTAAAATATGATTAATTGAGCAGCCCTACCAGTATGTCTGCTGTTAGGTTGTGACTAGTTGTCTCTCTGCACGAGGTTGCACCACTTTGGAGGTTAGCGCCTTAGCGGATGACTACTCTGTCGTTGGGGTCTTCTGTAGAAGAAATCTAACCTTCCAAAGTTAATGATGGTGCACTTCTACTCCGCAATTGAGTCCATCCTCACCATCTGATCCACTACTGCCACTGCCAAGGCTAAGGACTGACTTCAGCGTATCATTTGCTCAACTGAGAAGGTGATTGGCTGCAATCTGCCATCCCACCAGGACCCTTATGCTTTAGGACCCTAAAAGGAGCATAAAAGATTATGGCCAACCCCAAATGTTATAATTTAAATATTTTCAAAACATATCATATATATCAGAAAGATATTATTAAACCAGACAAAGTAAAGGTTGACTTTTATTTTAAAGAACATCTCTGTGTGTGTAAAACTACTTTAAATCTTATGTTTGTTTCTTTTCATTGATGACTGTGCCATTTGTGATAGTGCTTTGCTTCCTTCCTCATGGGAGTTTATTCTCATAAAAAGTGTCACATGCAAAATGGTTGTTGAGTTGCTGGCAACTGTTTAAATCTTCCCAGCCTTTTTATTTGAAATACAAAATAAACAACGGCCATAATAACAAAGCTTAAACGTCTATTAAATCCATTGCTTGGGAAAATGTTAAGCCCTACAGTAATTATGTTTGGTTTCTATTTGATTGATGCCTTTGTGTAAGTGTTTGCTTGACATTAATGTTAACACATCAGAAGAATTTTACATTCCAAAATCAGCTTGCTTCTCTTTCTTGTCCTGTGCTAACATTGAGCTTAAGTAGAAAGATCATCTTGTAGCCCTTTTTGTGTGCACCCACTTGTGCAAGCCAATGACTAGGTGATCAAATTCTGTTTCCTTGTTGTGTTGCATTTAGATCCCTCACAACCAAATCCAAGGGACCACTGTCTTTGCCTGATCGCTATGGTAGGCATCGGTGTTGGCCTGACAAGAACTACAACAAACATGGTTGTTCACTGTAATCTTTACTTGCCTTATTACGAGCTGACAAGGGAAAGAGAAGGATGGGGAGATTTTGTGAAGTGAAGCTGGAATAGTGACTTGCTGCTTAATGAACTTGATAAACTGCATTGTGATTTGATGCTGTGGGAGTCACAGGGGGAAACAAATACACAACCTTTCAACATATTGTAATACAAATAGTACCCCAGAAACTGGCAGCGAATAAAGGCAAAACAATAATGCCCCAGAGTCTGAAAACACAGCCATAATCCAGCTTCTTTCTCCCCTCTCTATCCTAAGCACCTCCAACAAGATGTGCAAGGGCATATGCAGTAACTTAAAACGGTAACTTGTAAATAATAGTTATTCATTACAATCATAAATAGTTTTATTTTCATGAAAATTGTCATCCTGTTTCCTTGCAATTGTATGGCAACAACAAAAAAGCCTACAACAGGTTTAACTTGACACTGTTATTTTAATCAGTAAATATGACATTACACTGTATTGTCAGAGTGAGGATGACATGCATATAGGAAACTTGGTTTTATTTAAAAAAGAAAGAAAATAATAATGACCATGTGAACTAGGCCCCCTGTAGCCTAATCTTCTTTTGATAAGGGATTACAGGATTATGCAGTGATTTGTATTGCAGCACAGGGACACCTGTCACCTCTATGCGTACTTAAATTGTAGTCTTGACAGAACAAAGTCCCTTGTCGAACCATTCAAATATTTTTTTCTCCCTGTTTTTATTTAATGAAATAAATGAGGGCATGGGGAAACTGAAGAATGTGCTTTGTAGTAGGGATGGGAACGATTAATCGAATATTCTAATATTCGAAATTATTCAGGTATTCGAATATGAGTTATGAATATTTTTATTTATTTTTCAATTTTTTTGGGAGGGGTGCCTAAGTTGATTACATATTATCAAATGGAATAATTCAATGTATACGACAGTGCCATAGCTAAATGTGTTAGGTCTAAAGGTGTGTTTTGCTCTGCTCAACGGTCCTTCACAGCGGGCAGAGCTGCAGGTGCTGATCTCTCTCTCGCGTCCGGTTATACTTCACTCGCGTTTATGTCCAAATCCATCAGATCTAGCTAGTTCTAGCTAATGATATGGCTGCTGCCCCTCCCTACACGCAGATCACGCAGACTCAAACCTCATGTTATGCCCAAATTCCAGCTGAGAGGGTCTTCTCTACAGCTGGCCTGATTGTGAATCGCCTCCGCACCCGCCTCTCCCCTGAGTAGACATGCTCATATTCTTAAACAAGAATGAGTATTGAATAGCTGCATTCTGTGCATAGGCCCTGTTATAGGTTGTTGAGCTCTGTTGAAATAGGGTTACGTTACCCTAACCCGTTATGTTGTTCGTGTATGATCCCTCTTTAATTTAAAAACCAAGTTATGTTTTAAGCATGAA